GTTTAAGAAATAATAGTATTTTAATTATAATTAGTGGTTAAAAGTAGTGCAATGACATTTTTGCCCTTACTTTTTGTGTAAAAGTAATGATGTGATGTAAAGTAAGGTATTTGTAGAAAAAAGTAAGGTATTTAATGAAATGTTTACTTTGTAATTGGACGTCCCAAAATAGAAATATGTATACTTTCTAACTGGACCGAGGGAATATAAATATAAAGATATTTTTAATTGAGTAATAATTTGTATTAGTTTAAGCGTGATGAACGGTTCTTTTCTCGTGTTACTTGAATACGTTCTAGACTTATTGATTTTGTAAGTAGATATTGAAATAGAAATACTCCATCCGTCATTCAAATCTATGCTCGCCTTTTTTTTTGGGTTTTCATTGAAAAATATTCTCATTTCTTTTTTAAGTAAAAAATTATTATATTTTTGTATTTTTTTTACTATAAAAGGAAAAAATAACAATTATTACTCACTTTTATTAAAATTAATGTCCGATCAAATGAGCACACAATTTCATGACGATGGGAGAGTATTATATTGTAGCATATTAAATGAAGGAATTTAATATCTTGCATGACAACGACGGCCTGACTTGCAATAAAATTTCACTTGGAGTTAAGATCTTTGTAATATTTTCTAAATTATACTCTAAAATTTGAATCCACATAAAAGAACAATTAATTAAAAAATAATATATATAATAAGATGAATGAATATTGTTATTTCAAATTTGAAGCAAACCTATTTATTTCAACAAAAACTATTGCTACAAAAATTCTAAAAAATACATAGGAAAACTCATATCTTAACCACATAACATAGTAATAGTTTTCGTACAAGGCAGCCGTCAATCTTGATCCAGGGTCGGTCCTGACTTTCATAGAGTACGGGACAAAGTAAAAATTAGGGATCATTAAATATATATATATATAATTTTTTTTACATATAATAAAATATAAATAATAAAAAAAAATATTTTTTTTAGTATTTTTGTGCAAAAATATCAATAATAATAATAAGGGAAAATTGTTCATAATTTCCAAGTAGTTTTGATTTTTAGCATAAAAGTTCCATGTACTTTAAAAATTGTGTGGCGCTTGTTTATACTTTAACAAATGTTATATGAAACTCACACCATACAAGAAAAATATAGATGAGAAATTATCTTCTCATCGTAAAAAAAAATATATATATAAAATATTAATTTTGACAAATTTTTATAAATAATATTAATTTTGTCTAAACAATATTTATAAATAATATATTTTTTATCTATAATAAAATATAAACAATTGAATAAAATAAAATTTCTAACATTTTTATATGCAAAATATTACTAGTAGTATTAATTAATATTAACTTTATCTAATGCATAAAAAAAAATACTTTCAAGTTTTGAACTAAAAACTTCATAAATAGTACATACAACATGTAACAATCGGGCCATAATCCTCTATTAATATGTTAAAATTAAATAATATTTATATATAAATATTTTATATATAACATAAATATATAATGGACCCCTATTTAGATTGGACATTTGATGGACGCCCCTCTCGCCCGAGCCCAGGGCTAGCCCTGCCCTTGTGGCAAACTTCGTTAGAAGATTATTCCAATAATACAAATCCTGAATAAAAAAATAATATAAAAATATTTCAAGAGAATAACAATACTTTTATTTTATACAATTACATTAATTAAAAAAAAAAAAGAAAGAAAAACCTCAATTGTAAGAGATATGATGATAATCACTGCCTTCACCTTCAACATGCGATGATTGGATCTAAATATATGCACGATAGTAAATTATACGAAAAAATTACTAAATTAAAATATTTTAATGGAAACACATGTCATTCTTAAAGAAAATACTTCAAGTAATTTTGCGAATTTCATATAATAAATCGGCCCGTTATGATAATGAGATAGTATGTTTGGTATAAGATTAAGAGCTGCTATCTAAAATGAAGAAAGTTTGAAACAAAATTATATCAAAATTATTATAAATAAAATATGAGTTTATTTCTTCCTAAATGAACCTGATCCAGAGGGATTTGATAAGATTGCGAGGCAATACTACATTATATTTAGGCCTCATTAATGATTGACTCCATAAGAAATAAACATATTATAAATTTTTTGACTAAATAAAGATATTTACAATGTAGCAACAAATTTGCACATGGGTCTCAGCTAAACATTTATTTTCTCGAACTTTGGCTTTTTTTTTTTCCTTGAGTGTCGTTCTTTTAGACTATTTTTTGGTCTTTTACCTGAATGTATATTTGTCTTTTTCTTGATACTTTTCACATAAATATTATCTTCTTTGTTCATACCGACGTTATCAAACCTCTTCATAAATTATTTCTCATAATACTTTTTTGACTCTGTAATTGTTCACTCATTCTTTCAGTAGTATTCAACAATATATATCTGGAAAACTCATAAGATTTTTTACTTTCCGAAGCTATTTGTGCTAGTTTATTGCATAAGATACTAAAAATTTTATAGCGCAAGCTTAACTCTTTTTTGGGTTATCCATACTGTGATCTTTGACATGCATTTCACAATGCAAAACACTTACTCTCGCATTTTTTGTTCACTTTTTCATTTTATATAGATTCGGGATCTTCAAAATATTTTTTTTTAGGTTTTTCAGTCCACAAAAGTATAGTATCCCAAAAAAATCGAATTTCTTGCAGTTGGATGCAACTGTCTCATCTATTGAATCGTATTTGATAAAATAGTAACTCGAACTCTCAAGATAGCTAACCTAATATCTCTAATGGTTTCATGTGTTCTAATAATAGTTCCTACACAATCATACGCTTTTCTCATATCCTTCGGGAGTATTTTAAAAACTTTTGGGTTATACACACTTGCAGCATGTTTCAGGAGTTGAATTGACATTGAGAGTACAAGTGCACTTGTATTTGCTTTAATATCGGCCAGCAACTGTACATATCGACGAGATTTAATCAAATTTTCAAACTTTTTAAAAATACCCTCAAATTGTTTTTTGAACTGACCATTTTTTATTGACACTATTAATACTTTTATTGCATTGTATTATCGTACTATTAACAAAAAGAGTTAACGATTATATACCAAAGTCTTTTTTTTCATTTAAATTATTTTTTATCATCTCACCATAATTCATCCTATTTATGGAAAACTCATCCGCTTTGTAAAAATTGTAAATATATCTCCCAAAATTGTGCATAAAATTTTTATACTCAACAAAGACACCACCCAAATGTATGACAATATTTTGATAAATATACTGAATACATAACCTACAAAAACATAACAAATTAAGGATAAAAGTATTTTACGGAAAAGTAGCTGTATGTTACAAAATCACAATTTAAATGTATTGAATTATTTATATTTAAATAAAAAAACATATGATGAGTCTTATGCTACCTCGAAGCCAACGCATTTTCCATTATCTGATCTTGATCTGTCAAAATAGTAGTCGGTTTTTTTCCATACATAGTGCTAGCGAATGTGTCAAAAAACCACTGAAAGAAAGGAATAGTCTCGTCGTATAAAAATGATACGCCAAAAATCAATGTTTGTTTGTGGTGATTAACACCGAAAAACAAGGTCAACAAATGATTTCCTTAATCTTTCTATGCGTAGCGTCGAAAGAAACTACGTCTCCAAAATCAACAAAATATGCTCTCATTCTCCCATCATCCCAAAATAGATTTGTAATCATATAATTTTCATCAACTTAAATGGAATACGAGGAATTTGAGTCTCTACTTTGCATCATTTGTATATATCTACCACCACTCCATTATCTCTCACCTCCATGCACTTTGTCATTTTCGATCGCAACTAAATTTTAATGTCTTGTCTTGTAAATGCTAAGCTATCCCAATTACCGGCTTTCTTAACCATTAAATTATGTGAGACTTTTGGAGCAAATCTCATGTGTTCAGCTATATCAATTTGGAAAACATGGACATCATCTATCTCATATGCGATGAAAAAATCAATCTTTTAAAGACTAGTAAGTTGATAAGCGTGTTTAGAAATAATCTTATTATCTTTCAATCGAATTCTCATTATTTCTTTGCATTTGAATTTTGTTATTGCTTGTGGGGCTCTTAAATTGACATTTCTTTTATCTTTTCTCCTTGTACTTTAGGTACTACAATTTTCTTTAAAAAAATTTTATCATTTATGCTCGATTTCTATGTATTTTGTATTATTTCGTGCCAAAACTTGTTTTCATAGTATAAACTAAGTATAATTGATACATGTGTTTCTTAATTGTTAAACTTTGTTCTAATTTAAGATATTTTTTCAGGAGAAATGTGATAATTATAGGACTCACTATCATTTTTCATATTCGTAAATAACATACTTGAAAATCAAGACTTATTCATTGTTAACTTATCAATCTTTATTACCTATAGTAAAAGCGTTGAATCCAAAATACAAAATAATCATTTTATTATTTAGATTCTGCGTTTTTCGAAAAAAAATATTTTTTTCTCTTACAAAACATCCCATCAAACATTATTTTAATACCAAATTCAAACCAAAATTTTACCAAACCTATCAAAAGAAACATACCCCAAATAACAGAGGAACTGAACAAGTGATTACAAATACAAGAATATAACCCACAAACTGTGGGTTGTAAAACCGGCTATAGAAGAACGTAAGAAATCGCATTGAACCCAAGTTAGAGCCTAAAATGCGATGAATTGTAAAATTAGATTTCAAACTTGCGGGGTGAGCGCGTGGGCTTTCACCGAATAGACGATCGCAGTGGTGGTAGGAGCGGCTGGAAGAACGAACTTTCGAATTTGGGGAAGAACAAGAATTTTTATTTTTTTTTAAATAAAAATAAAATATAATAAATATTACCCGTCGTCATATTTTGAGTGGTTCGACCAAATGTCTTGAACCAGAAGATCCCATGCCCTCCCTCCATTTTTATATACTAATAATCATTTCAAAAGGCACTAGTACCCAACTCAAGATACCACTTTTTCTCTCAACTATCCATCCATTCATTCAGATTATAACCACTAAAACTCCTATCTATATATATATAATGCAGCATCCACTATTATTAAAGTGTGGGTCTCTCTCTCTCTCTCTCTCTCTCTCTCTCTCTCCACATATACACACACACGCACATGATCTATCTCTCTCTAGATATACATATACAGATATATATATATATATTATGATATGCTTCTTTCTTTCTGTAAATGCTCCTCTTCTTAGTTCTTCCTCTCAACTTTCTTTCTTTTCTGTTAATCTAAAAATATATATATATAATTCGCAGAGATGAACAGTAGCAGCACTAAATGGGCTAAGATGAAGATGAAGATGAAGATGAAGGAGGGCAAATTCGTCAAATTCATGAGATTGCCCCTCAAACTTCTCGCCAGGGCCCGGGACTTGTACGTCGGCAGCCTCACGGGCTGCGCCGGCCACGTGGCGTACGGAAACGCCGTCATTGGATGCCCCGCCCCGCACTTCTCCACCCTCCCCCGGGCCCGGAGCTTCAGCGCCTCCTCCAGAGACGACGACGATCTCAGGGAGCTCATCAGAATCGCATCCGCCCGGAACCTCGCCGGAAAATTTGAGGCTGAGATTTTCCGGGAGAAGGAACCGCCGTTGAGGCCCGGGATGCCTCGCAGCCGTACGATCGTGATCGGACGGATCGACGAGGAGAGGGTCTGTGAGTTTGGGGAAAACGACGTCGTAACCAGGAGTCGCAGCTACGCGGCTTCCAGGACCGGGTCCGGACCGGTCCGGTCTGCATTATTCGGGAATTAACGCTTTTATTAATTAATTTATTATTATTATATATATATAAAAGGATGATCATGGATTTGGTTTTGGTTTTTATTGCACTATTGACTTTGTGTAAGTTATGGTTTTGGTTTTGGTTTGATTTTATTGTTAAATTGTTCACATGGAAGATTTTTGCTAATTTGGTGAGTGTATTTTATGGACATTAGAGAAATTTGTATGGTGTTTTCCCACGGACAATACCTAATTACCTATTTAAAGTTAATTCCAATCTTCTTATAATAATCTAACACATGAAAGTTTGTAAATGAATTATCCATTTTTGTATATTTGCTGATTGAGAGTCCAGACCGAATTATTGTGATTCACATGCAATTAATTAATTTAAATTTGAATGAGGCGATGCCACCAAACATATATGGATCAAAGCCGTTCGTTAATGTAGACCGCATAGGATGGACGGCCTGGATTAAAACATACAGAATACAACCAAACCATTTCAATATTTACGATTCTTACCATTAATTTTATTTAAATTTTTGTCTCAATATAATCCAAATTTATAAATTTTGGTCTCAATATAAAAAATTCATCAATTTTAGTTCAATTATAAACAATTTTAATCAATTATTTATAATAGGACTAAATTAATAATTATTTTTATATTTGAATCAAAATTAATAAATTTGATTTAAATTGGAACCAAAATTAATTTTTTTCCTTAAATTTAAATATATTGAAAAAAAATATTAGATAATAGAAATTGGGGAAGGGTCAAAACCCTAAACCCCTTTTAAGATTCTGTTCTGCGCAGTTCGTTCTCGGTTGTCGCTCGAATTCAGCCATGGCGGAGATCAAATTCTCAGAGATGCGTGACTTGACGCGAATTGAAAGAATTGGGGCGCATTCGCACATCCGTGGTTTGGGTCTCGACAGCGCGCTGGAGGCTCGTTCCTCCTCCGAGGGCATGGTGGGACAGGCTTCGGCCCGAAAGGGTGCGGGTGTGATTGTGAAGATGATCCAGGAAGGCAAAATTGCTGGCAGGGCTGTGCTTCTCGCGGGCCAGCCTGGCACGGGGAAAACTGCGATTGCCATGGGAATGGCTAAATCCCTAGGAGAAGAAACTCCATTTGCGATGCTCGCAGGGAGCGAGTTGTTCTCCCTCGAGATGTCGAAAACCGAGGCGCTAATGCAGGCGTTCAGGAAAGCAATTGGGGTTAGAATCAAGGAAGAAACTGAGGTGATTGAAGGAGAAGTGGTGGAGCTACAGATTGACCGGCCGGCGGTAGCGGGAGCGGCTGCCAAGACCGGGAAATTGACTCTGAAGACGACGGAAATGGAGACGGTTTATGATTTGGGGGCGAAAATGATCGAAGCTTTGGGGAAGCAGAAAGTGCAGAGTGGTGATGTGATTGGTATTGATAAGGCGTCTGGGAAGATCACAAAGCTTGGGAGGTCTTTCTCTAGGTCTAGAGATTACGACGCCATGGGACCTCAGACGAAGTTCGTTCAGTGCCCTGATGGTGAGCTGCAAAAGAGGAAAGAAATTGTGCATTGCGTTACACTCCACGAGATCGATGTTATCAACAGCAGGTAGTGTTTCTTAATTGTTGCATTGTTCTTATACATCAGATTATGCTTCAAAGTTTTCCCCTAAATTGGATTTCTAGGGTTATCTGATTAATTACAATTTAATTGAGTATATCTGTTAATTGGGAGCTATTGAAGAATGGCTCATAGTTTTAGCTTTGCAAAGAGAAGATAAAGTTGTGCCTAACTAGCAGAGTACTTGCATAAATGTCTACATTTCGTATGTGCCGATTTTGAGATGCTATTCGTCGTAAATATTGAGATTTTGTGCCAATATACAGGTCTACTTGTAGAATCAGTTTATAGATGCTTCACAGTGAATACATTTGCAATTGGTTGTTTTAATTCCTCATTTGCATTTTATAGTTTCCATGGAAGTCTTATATCATTGATTTTGTCGATTTTTTTCTTTGGAAGGCTTTTTTTCCAAGTGCATGTCGATTTGATTGAAGAATATCTCATGAACTGTAGCAATACTTGATCCCTTCTTTGTGTCATTTGAGTCTTTTCGGCATTCTATTGTTTTGCCATACACACCAGCTGTTGAAATGATGTTTTCGAACATTGATTAGATTATCTTAGGGAATGGTACTATTTTTCGTAATATCTTGATACTGCATATGCCTGCATTTTAATTATTGCTTGCCATTTTTAATTTGTATCGTAATCTTGTTGAGGGTGTGCAGTTGGTTCTTGTCTTTAGACCATGCTAAAAATTGCTGATACACACATTCGTGCGTGTATATTATTCCGATGTGTTGGTTCCTTTCCCTTCTGCCTCTCATTTCTGAATTTTCTTAGATTTCATCGCGTCTTCCAAAACTTTGATATAAATGCTTATCACCTAAATACTCGAGGTTGCTCTATGAACATCTATTGCTTATCACCATGTTTCTGTGTCGGTTTCAATCCAATGTTCTCTGCAAATGCATACAATGGTTTGATGTTTCTGTGGATAGAAAGTATTGCCTGAAAAAAAAAATATTCCGATTGTTAGGTAATTTTACTTCTCCATTTAATTTGAGTTATTCGTCGTTTCCATGTCAGAACTCAGGGATTTCTGGCCCTATTCACTGGGGACACCGGCGAGATTCATTCTGAAGTAAGGGAACAAATCGACACCAAGGTAGCTGAGTGGAGGGAAGAAGGAAAAGCCGAAATAGTCCCCGGCGTACTTTTCATCGACGAAGTCCACATGCTCGACATCGAATGCTTTTCTTTCCTGAACCGCGCACTGGAGAACGACCTTGCGCCCATACTGGTCGTCGCCACCAACCGAGGAATCACCTCCATCAGAGGAACAAATTACCGATCCCCTCATGGCATTCCGATAGACTTTCTTGATCGATTGCTGATCATCTCCACGCAACCCTACACGTCGGACGACATTCGCAAGATCTTGGACATCAGATGCCAAGAGGAGGACGTGGAAATGACGGAGGACGCGAAGATACTCTTGACTAAGATCGGAGAAGACACGTCGTTGAGATACGCCATAAACCTCATCACATCCGCCGCGTTGGCGTGCCAAAAACGGAAGGGTAAGACGGTGGAGATGGAAGATGTTAGCCGGGTTTATGAGCTGTTTTACGACGTGAAGAGATCTACGCAGTATTTGATGGAGTATCAAAGCCTGTATATGTTCAGCGAAGTCCCGGCTGGAGTCGACGATGAAGACGGCGCTGCCGCCGCCGCTGGCGACGACAGTATGGTGTCCTGAATGGTTGCTGAATTTGGAGGTAGAATTGGGACATTCTGTTGGTTTTTCTGCAGATTTTTTATTTTCTTGGTTAAGTTATTTGTGTTGTGGTTTTAGATTAATTGATCTGTGACAATGTTATACTTATGTTTTGTGCTATGGTATGGTAACCAGAAAATTAAACTTTTGTTTATTTATGTGTTGTGATTTTTGTGAATGTTAAATTGAATTCCTGACTTAGAATAGGTATATAAATAAGTATTGATGTGATTTTTTAATATAAAATTAATTTTTAATACTCTTTTCGTCCCATGTACTTTGTCGGTTACAAGTGATACAGAGATGTGGGACGGACTGACAACGATAAGTGAAACTGAGGGAATATAATATAAAAAATAAAAAATAAATATTTGATTTGATATTTTTTTTTTTTGAGAAAATTTTTGTGTGAATAGTAAATTTCCCCCAAAATTCTTCAAACAAAACACACCTAAAAGGTTTGAATGAAAGTGGGAACTTAAGCAAAATTAATGAAAAAAACAGTTTAAAAAATAAACCGCCGTTGCCGGGGATCGAACCCGGGTCGTCCGCGTGACAGGCGGAAATACTCACCACTATACTACAACGACTTTGATGCTGTTTTTGGTATAATTTATCAATATAAATATTTAGTTTAGTATTTAAATACTCTCACGCTTGTTAAAGTGATAATCTAAATATATGATAAATGACGGGAAAGATTATATATAAACAGCTACTTTTTCAAACATACACACCCTCCGTCTCACTAAAAATATTTAATTAAATATGAAAATTTATGTAAAATATAATAAATAAAAAATTAAATATAATTTAATTAAAATTGATAAAATTATAAACTATGATTTTTAAAATACGTTTAAAGTATATAATTATATTTTCAAAAAAAGACATGATATTATGTGGAACGAATAAAAATAAAAAACAAAAATATACGCTTTATATAAGACAGATGGAGTAAAAGGTTTCAGATCATACTAAATTTATTTATCTATTTATTTATTTACATTAGATATGATTTATAAGGGAATTTTATCTAATGATAATTTTAATTATAAAATTTATAATGAGTAATTAATAGTGTTATTTTAAACACAAAACAATATTTCCAGTTCCATATTAGATGTTGAGCATGTTATTATTTAACTTTTTTCCTAGAAGATTGAAAGTGTTTTTAAAATACAACTAGTTTCAAAATGTAATATGGCTGTATTACCGTAGACACGGAAATTTAGATAAAGTATAATTAGTAAGTAATTAAGAAATATATTAGTAAAAATAATTATAGATTAAAATTAAAATAACTAAATAGTTTAATTAAGATTAAAAAAATTTAAATTTTAAATTTTAAAATATGATTAAAGTATATAATTAGTTTTTTTAAAAAAAAAAGAAAGGACAAATTATGTGGGACGAACGAAAATAGAAAATATGGACAAATTATGTGGGACGGAGGGAGTAATATATTACGAAATTTCATAGTATTTGTTTTTGCTGCTAATCCTTAAACTTTTCAACTGTCGTATTAAAAAAAAAAAAAAAATTGATTGATATTAATTTTTGTTTAAATAGTTATATACATATATATATATTTCATAATTTTGTGAATTTTATCTACTAAATTAAAGAGACAAAAAATTATACTGTATAAAATTTCATTTTGGTAGTTTTCAAAAATTATACTCCCTCTGTCCCGAAACTAAATAGCTATTTGTTTTTTGCACATAGTTTTAAAATTATTAGTATTTATTGGGATGTAGTAGGAATAAAGTAGAAATGACTAAAATAACGTTATTAGTATATGTGATATAAAAGTGACTAAAATAACCTTATTAGTATATGTGATATAAAAGTAATGATATTTGTGTAATATATTGTAAGTTGTAAGGGTATTTGTAAAGTTAGGTAGATAGTACAGTTACTAAAAACATAAATGGATACTTTGTTATGGAACGGAAGAAGTAATTTAGTCAACTTTAATTATATTTCATCTGTCCTACGAAAATACATTAAGAACGGAAGGAAGGAGTATAAATTGACAAAAATGAAATTATATTCATATTTTAAAATATAATAATTTAATCAATTATGATACCATAAATTTATCCTATAATTTAGGCAATAGTAATATGCTCTATTTACATGAATTATGGATCATTAATTAAGGAACTTTACTTAATCAAATATTTTATTTTTTTCAAAATTTTAAACCCAACCTATCGATAATTTACATGAATTATGGATCATTAATTTTATGTTTATAAATAAAATTGATTAATTTTATTTTAGTTCAACAAATTATAGCATTTTAATATAATCATTCATTATTTTTCAATTGAATAATTCTTCAAAAATATTATTAAAAAATATATAAATATACAATATATGTTATTCAGTCATAAAAAATTAACGATTTAACCCAAAATATTATTTTCTATATTAGCAGCACAATTCTTCATATCATATACGGAAAATCAATTCATATAAAAACATTGAGTAAAAACTGATAATATATTAAAATATTACATAAAATATATTATATAATTGTCAACATTATTTCGGTATGTGTTGTATATGCTAATTGATTTACATATTTATAATTTTAAAATAAAATAAAATAAAATAAATCTAATTAAAAAAAAATACTCATATTATTCAATAACATTTAAAAAAAAAAAACCAAAAATTGCGTTAAAGCAAGGTGTTTTATTATAGTATGTATAACATATTATATAATTATATACAACATATATATTACATAATCATCCATATTATTTACTTATATGGCTGAACAATTACATTTTTTTCAAACATCGATGATGTGTACTGATTTACATTTATCCTTAAGAATGAGTTTTATATTACAAACAATAAACCCTTAAACAAGTGTAGCTAATGAAATATCTTAAAGAATTTCCATTTTGCTGAAAAAAGTATATTTTTTTTATCATTTTTTCCGTCTCATAAAAAATATAACTTTGTTATTATAATAAAAGTTTGTTATTATAATAAAAGTAATCACACATTAGTATCAGAATACTTTTAAATTTTATATAAATTACAAATATACAATAGCACATACGCCCTCCGACCCATAATAGGGTATTCATCTACTATTTGTGTCATTATACTTAACATTAAAAATATCCTTATATTTATATAATTTTTTGAATAAATGTCATTATATTAATATTATAAAACACTAATATAAATATTTTTTTGTCATTTTTCCCTTAATTTGTACGAATGTTGGGATTGATGGTTCTTTTACATCCAGACTTAAAAATATGAAAAGGACAACAAAACGTTGGCTCGAAACGTTCAAAGGAGGCTGCGAAAAAGATTTAGTCACACTTGAAGCTGAAATCGAGACCTTGGAGCATGACCTAGAATCCTCTTCTCCTGATGATACAAAAGAACAACAGCTATGGGATAAAAAGACCCTTCTATGGCGTATCTTCTATTTTGAAGAGAGTACTTGGAGACAAAAGTTTAGAGAGAGATGGATTCGAGAAGGCGATCGCAACACCAGATATTTTCATTTACTTACAAGGAGACAGCAAATTCGCAATCAGATAGCATGAATCCACTGGCACGAAGAATCATGGAAAGATCTCGACCAAATCAAAGCAGTGGTGGTAAGATTTTTTAAGGAGCACTTTAAGGCTAAACCCGATATATGGCCAAAAGTGTAAAACCTTAGGCTTAGGAGTACTCTCCCAAGAACAACAAGATAAGCTTGATAGACCCATTGATGCTGAGGAGATTTGAGAAACAGTTAAGGATTGCCCCGACAATAAAGCTTCGGGTTCGGATGGTTTTAATTTCAACTTCATCGAGAGATTTTGGCATAAGGTGGGGAATGATGTAACACTTATGGTGACCAATCTTCAAAATTCTACCAGGACTCCACCAGGTTTTGGAGCAGCTTTTATCATCCTAATTCCCAAAAAAGAGAGTCTAGTAACATTTGAGGACTATCGACCGTTCACACTTCTCGGGTGTGTATATAAGATTTTCACAAAAATTCTTAGTCTTCGGATTAAAGAGGTTATCAATGATATCATTGGCAATCAACAATTGTCATTCATAAAAGGAAGACCAATTCTCGATGGCATTTTGATAGCATCGGAAACCATTCAAGCAGCAAGAAGATCGGAGCTAAATGGTTTTGTCATAAAGGTTGATATTTTCAAAGCATATGACTGTATCTCACGGAAAACACTTGATAATGTGCTCGAGGCTATGAAATTTGGTGAGAAATGGAGGAGGTGGACGATGTTGTGCCTACAGTCAGCCTCGGCAGCGGTGTTAATTAATGGTTCGTCATCAGACTTCTTCCCAATCCGAAAAGGGGTTAGACAAGGTGATCCTTTGGTTCCACACCTTTTTCTCTTGGTAGATGAAGTTCTTAATGCCCTTATTTCCCGAGCAATTGACATTGGGAAACTCAAAGGTATGAAGGTGGGTTCCAGAGGAGTGACGATAAGCCATATTTAATATGCAGATGACACAATCTTCTTCATAGAAGGATGAGAGGAAATTTTGTGGGTCCTGAAGAGAATTCTTCGGATTTTTGGTATTTGCGCTGGGCTTAAAATCAATTACAACAAAAGTAATATTTATGGAGTGAATGTGGATGATCAAATGATGACCAGAGCTATTGAGATTCTTGGTTGTCATGATAGCGCTTGGCCTTGTAAATATCTTGAAATCCCAATTGGAGGAAGATGCAATGAAAAAGAAGTATGGAAACCAATCTTAGACAAACTGCAAGGTCTTCTCAGTCACTGGAAACAAAAAACACTTTCTCAGGCAGGGTGGGCCTGCCTAATTCTAGTTGTATGTCAAACGATCCCGTCATACTTCCTATCAATTTTCTATATTCCTGTAGGGATATCGAACAAGATAGAGATGATGTTTCATAGATTCTTCTAGGGGAACAAAGGAGGAAAAAATAAACTAAGATTGATTATGTGGAATGAACTGCAGGTGCCACGGGAGATGGGAGGCCTCGGACTGGATAACATCATTCATACCAATCTTGCATCACTCTACAAATGGAAGTGGTGATTCCAAGAACCAGGGAATCTTTGGAAACTTCTCATTGAAGATCTTGACACCGGAAGACGAATGATTGCTTCATCTTTAATCCCTA